GTAATAATTAAATACTGATAGGTCTAATTAATAAAGCAGAAAAAAATCATCATCAATAAGTATGTACCCATAAAAAATGTTATGATTAAAATTTCAATATCGACTTCAAATGATTATAAACAAAAACAAGATCATTATCACACACGTACACGCGATTATAACGACAAGTCATAAATAAGCAACTACGAAAAAGTGTAAACGAAAAAAAAAACACGCTCACATCATTAGAAAACCAATTACACAGCTTCGAATTGTTCCGCTCAGTCTAAAATAAATTACGTATTTATCATTTTATCTTCTTTTTTTTATTTTTTTTTTTTTTTTCATTGAAAATACTAAACGACGCGATTTACGCAGGAATTCGTTTACTACTTGTACCATATATTATTATAATGCGTATTGTATTTTTATTTATATTTTTTTTTTCAGAACCCTTCAGAATATTTTTCATATTAAAAAGTATAAATAAAACAGTTGGTATACAATAAAAAAAAAAATCGGACAAGTTCACAATGAGGGCGTAAAGTGTGCACTTTGTAATGTATACCATATAATATAAAATAAATAATAAAACTGCGTTTAATTTTGTTTTTTTTTTTTTTTTTCAAAAAATTATTTTCATACAATCGCTTTGGGTACACGTAAAACGATTTCCGGACGTTGTAGTTACACGATAAGCTATATCGTTAACAAAGAAATTAATTTAAAACAATCTTCCGTGATCAAAATACTATTGTTAGTTTATGTAAATGTCATCGAATAATTTCAATATCGATGTACAATACTGTTGAACCATTTGTAATTGAATTTCGTAAATGTATGTTAATAGGTTTCGACTGTATCATTAGTTCGAAACACGGATTAACGCAATATGGATACCGAACGAGCTAATGATAATCTTTTATCGTCGGGTCCGTCAAACTGAAAATCCGAAACAGCCGAGATACGTGTAAAATACCTGAAAACACGACCGTCGGTACCCGTAGAGGGGGGGGGGATGCTCGTGACGCGTTATAAAATGTTGTCAGAATTTGAACTTAAAGCGCTAATAAAAACTAAAAAAAAAAAAAACTACTAAATAACGCTCGTACGGCTTGTAATTAACCTCGAGTTAAATGTTCAAACGTTTTTGTTAGGCCAAAAAATTTTGTCCACGCACAATACCACAGAAAAACTCGAAAATGTCAAATGCGCCTATAAACAGCCCGAAAATCGTCAGGATGTTCGGAACATTTTACCACGTTCGTAAAACACTACGGCCGCATGGCATATTAAGCCAAAGTCGTTTTCAGACACAGAATACACCACTGTAAAACCAATACTTCCTTCGATGCGTTCACTCTAGAATGTTAAAATTTCACACGATTACACCTGAGACGGTTTTTTTCTGATTTAGATATTCGCGTAAGTATTATAAATATTATTTTATAATCGCAGACCGCAGTACCGTATGGGAAATCATCGATGTGGATATCAGTGGATAAAAGTGTTCACTAACAACCGTAACGTTGTTAAGCTAACACGCTACAACACCTTTATCTACAAATAAAAACTACAAATGATGTAGCATAACACCTTTATCGCTCTATAAATATGTGTGTTTTTGGTCTGAATTTCGTTTATACATATTATGTCGAAAAAGAGTAAATTAATTAAATAATATCAGTTTGAAAAAAAAAAAAAAATGTTAGTCAACACCTTAATCCACTGACGTCTTTGACGAAGAGCTCTGGGTACGCCGGGACTATCGTATTCGATTTGGAGTGTTATTTTACCATACTCGATTATTATAAAAACTATATTTCTAACATCATTCGGTCGGCAATAGCTACTCGAGTTTCCGTAATTTTCAAATCACAATCGTTCGAACCGTTACTGTGACATTTGCGAGACTCGGATGACAAACGTTTTAATTTTTTATTCACACATGACTACGTGTATAGTATTTTCTCGTTCTATACGGAATCGTAGAGATACTCAACTATATTAAATTTTCCACACGTGATAAAATATTAAAACTCTTCATTTTTTTAATTCAAACTATTATTTTTTTATTATATTTCGGAGAAAAAATTATTAGTTAAGTGCAAATCTGGCAATTTTAATCCGCAGTGGCTCACACCCAATATGAAATTTGGGTGGCAAGTCGAATAGTAATAACACTAAGAGTGTTTCACGCGCTCACCGAAACGCATCAAATTAGCATTAGCCAAATTCTATAATTTAATATGAATATTTGATTCCTCTATAATTTCTAATACTCAGACAGTGGCTTAATAAAGGGGTGAAACGAAATCGACATTTACCCCAGGTGACAAAACGTCAAGGGCGGTAAAATTTCAATGATTTTAGGTAACAATTCTCCGAAGAATAGCATAGTTGAGTAAGGAAAATGAGAACATATTTAAGTATGCGTGTACCCAAGTAAATAGGAAGGAACGTAAATGTTGTTTTTCCCCTGTGCTCAAAAACCCTAATTATAAACTGCATGAACTTGCCACCACCGACCACCTAAATTTCTGGAGAAAGCCACAGACAAAAAATGAACTTGAACTGTTGACGGATGAGCCACTGTCGTAGGTGAGAAGTTTGAACGGATACGTAATGTTATTTAATTTATATCTGTACTCAACGATATGCGATTCTGAGCAAAGTTCGGGTAAACACGCTTTTAAAGCCGTAATTTTTACGATTTGAACTTTAAACATAATTTCTAAAAAAGACTTTTCTAGACTTTTATTTTTTACCTCCAAATATACCTTAAGAAGAATCTCGAATAAAATTTTCAAATATTTCAAATAAAAAAAAAACTCGAAAATATCGAATGCTTATGATTTATGAATAGTTAAAAAGTCAACAGACTGTTTAGAAAATGACGTTGTTAGTGTTCTGGGAAATGTTTTCCATGAATTACTTATTTTTTCAATAAGAAACTTGGTTTAAAAACTTTGTGCGGTTGTAATATATTCTAAAATGTCACGGTTTCCTTATTTTTGTTACCCTTATTTTTGGACGTGAATCGGTTACCTACTTTTGATTGAAAAAGCAACCTATACTGAAAATTCCGCAAATAGACGGATTATTCGTTTAAATGCATTATGCGGTTTTGACATTTTTGATATCCGTCAACCCGTTGACGCGATATTCCACTCGCGAGTTCAGGTAGGGGGAGAGTAGCGGGACACTATTCAAACGCCGTTCGCCGTGCCGTCACATAAATGTCGGCTCCGCTACTCTCCACTTACCAAAACTTAAAAGTGAAATATCTCGTGACGCTGTAACAAGAAATTTAAAAGACCCTGTTTATACAAGTAGATGTGGTGTTTCGTCGTCGCATGCGACACAGCACGTGTGGCCAAGGCGTAATATTGTTATTTTTAATTATATTATATCCTGTACCGGCTACACCTTTACAAAATGTATGAGTAAAAGTTGCACGACACAAATGAAAACAAATATATTATTTATAACTAACTTTCTTTGTTTGTGCACGTGAAATTTCGTGTTCACAAAGTCCGCCGGGACATCAACGGCCACACTTTTGGATTATTATAACGGCTCATAAATACGGCGGTCATATTCGAAGGACATAATTCGCTACGTGATCCGCGCCGGATTCGGTTCGTTATGCCAATACGAATATCCGAAAGCGGCGTTCACTTTGTCCGTGAATTCGCACATTATACTGCGCCGTAACTTAATAACACGATTTGCAAATCGAACGAGAACGACTGTAAAAAAAAAAAAAACAAACATTGATCGACTTTCTTGTACAAACATTGACCCGACGGTACGGTACTGCTATACATAATTATAAAAGTAGCCGTCGTTATATAGCATGTAGCAATAGTAATTATTTTTGTCAACAGAACAATATATTTAACTATGCCGTCTCGCATCGGCTTCCATGCACGTGAAAACACCGCAAACTAAAATAATTATAGCGTAAATTGCTAAAAAAAATATCGCGCGGTATCCCGTGTACATAGCAACCGATTTTATATCGGGTGATGTGGTTAGCCATTCCTTCGTTATCGTTTGTCAGTGACTGCGCCGAGCATTATAGACGTACGACGGGCGGCCAGAGCACCGGGATACATACCGAAAAATAGACATAAGTCTGTAGGTAAGTCTTCATTAAACGTTCATCAAATACAAATGGGCCGGCTTTTAAAATTGTCACGAATTCCGATGGATTTTCGACATTTCAATTACTCCCTGAAAGACAATGTTTTTCCACTGATCTACTGCCCCGATATCAGTTCAGGGGAAAAGAGTGCGGCCGCTTTTACCGAAAAAAAATTACTTTTCGAGAACAGGCATAACTCATCGTTAACATTTATTTAACATATTGTTTAACGATATTTATCTACCGTTTTGTTTTTAAACGATGAACAATAACGTTCCACGGCTCGCGCTGAACTTCGATTTTACGTTTGATTTAAAATAATAACATTAAAGAGTTGGCGAAAAGAAGTTAAAATACGACCTTTTTACCAGGCGTATTCAAAAGTTTTTAATAAAAAAAATCAAAAAACCGGAGTTCGACTCGAGTTATTGGACGTTTTCCGATAAGAAAAATAACCATTAAAATCACTGTATGAGTGATCGTTAATTTATTATTTTCAACGTTCGTTTGTCCGTAGACCGGTCGATAAAATTTTCACGTGTTTCGTGTATTCTGCCCGATATTGGAATGTTAATTATTCGCAAATAGAATTGTTCACATATCTACACACTAAGTTCGATTATACCAACGTGTATTGGCTTTTCTCGGTGATCGGACAAGTCCCAGTTGTAAACCATCGATAATATCAATTCTTTTCGCGGAACCCAAATGGCTTTCTGGAATCGTTTAGTGATGCGATAAATCCAAATAAATGTAGCGATCGGCCTCGCGCAACCCGGGGGCAACGGCCTTTCGATTCGGTTATAAAACGCTCGTCCGAGTAAAAGATCGTTTCTTTTTAGTTTCCATACGGGCCGGACCCGACACTGTCATGACGGCGGAATATTCGGACAGCCACTCTGACGGGACAGTCGTGGACGTGAAACTGTTCAGAGCGATCGGCCTGTTCCATATACTGAACTTCACCGCGCAAACCGGCCGTGACGGCTACGACGGCCGGCGGCACCGGACGGTATTACGCGTCTACTTCTGGCTGGTAATCGTGACGATCATCTTCAACATCGGTGGCATGTACCTGTCGTATAACGATTTTCAGCGGTTCACGTACCTAACCTTGTGCGTGACCGTGTCGTTGCCGTGCTCGCTCAAGTCATACGTGTTGTCGCGGAAGGCCGACACGGACCGGCTGCGGGCCGTTCTGGACATGGCCCGGTACGCGTTTACTTCGTGCGGCCGAAGTGACCCGTCGCGGTTGTCCCGGCGCAGCGCCGCGTTGTCCGCGCTGCTTCGCACGTTCGTCACGATCAACTACTGCACCGTGTTCTTTTGGATGCTGGCGCCGTTCTTCATCCACGCCAGCCTGTCCGTCACCCACCTGGACGGCACCGTCAGCGAATACCGGAATAGCATCCTAAACTTGTGGGTGCCGCTGCCCGACGCGGCGTACAACTCGTCGGCCGGCTGGTCCGTGGTCTACGCGTACGAAGCCATCGTGTTTACGGGCAACTTGATTATTCTGTTGATGTTCGACTGTTACGTTTTGACCACGTGCTTCGCGCTGAACGCCCATTTCCGCACGCTGGTCGACGGGTACACGGCACTCGGACGTCGTACGCCAGGGCCAACGTTAGGTTCGTATATACCAGATCCTCATACGGTGTAACACCTGAATTGTACGTAAACACCGAAAACTCATTAGTGGACGATTCGATTTACAGGGGACGAATATTATAGCCGTTTGATCTGCCTCGTAGACGACAATCAAAGAGTTGTGAAGTTAGTATGACGGTATAGAACAATACCAGCACGATGCGAATAAATTATTACTGTTATACGGGCCAAATCACTTAAGTATCATCATGGCTTATTAGCATACGGGTTAGGGTGGACCAAAAGAAAGATTTAATTTTTTAGCGCGGGATTATCCTCAAAAAAAAAAAAAAAAAGTTAAAAACATTTTTATTTTTTTTTTATATTACAATACCGTCGAATCTTATTTTTACGAAAAAATAAAATGTCCAGCTTGCCCGCAGCGGTTTTAACTGAATAAAGCAATTCGTGTGTATTTTATTTTGTTTACGGTTGAAATTATCGCCAAACAAAAAATGACACGAATGCAAATCATCAGAATGTAATTAGGAACAAATAATAATGAGGTTTTAAAGGAGAAAATCGATATTTACAAAGTTACTAGCCTCGAAACGCAAATATTGCAATAATAAGAAATTTTTTCAAGGATAATTTCAGATTGATATATTTTCAATATTTTTTTTTTTTTGTGGCATAAGATTCGGTGGTATATGAAGTTACGCCCGCGAAAAAACAATTTGTTTGATCCAACCTAATGATGTATTGTGATTTATAGGTACTCTAAAAAAATACATTAAAGCATTTTTATTTTATTTTTTTCCGTAAACTCTCTTAGAAAATTTTATGATTTTTACGACGTCGTTCAATCGGTAGTCAAATTACAGATAGCCTGTTCCACGGTTTCGGGAATTATATCAATATTTTTCGCCATATTGGTAAGTGGCTCGATCGACACGTTTTTGTCGGACTAGTCAATTAAAAACTGAAATCTCATTGTTTTTTTTCCCCTTTCCCAAGATGTTTATGTCCGGATGGTCACTCGTGTCCCCGCCGGTTTTGAAGTTTTTTTCCGCTTACGTGATTGTAATGGCACAGCTGGGTATTTATTGTTTCGCGTTCAGCTACGTAGAAACTGCGGTAAAAAAAAAATTACGCCCTGAGCGGCTATTTAATATATCTAAACACTGTTCGATTTTTTTCCTGCCCGACAGAAATCTGCGGTGAATTTCGGCCTGTACAGCAGCGACTGGACCGCAAAGGATTTGAAATTTAAAAAAACGATGTTGCTGGCGATGAAGATGAACTCTAGCTACCAGCGCATCGCGAAGTTGACACCGACCAACACCATAAATTTGGAAATGCTATACGGAGTGAGTAACCGACGCCACCATACGTGCTAAATTCATTTGTGACGATGTCGCACATCGCAGATAAATCGTTCAGCACATACGGTACGGATTGCAACCGCACTAGTATACGTATTGTTGTTTTGCAGGTGATAAAAACGTCGTATTCGATAGTTTCGTTGTTACTGAACACGGCCGTCGAACTAAAAGCGGAAGAATGAATAAATTCGAATAATATTTTATCCGTTCACATTTGATAAATTGTGCTATTAGTATACGAGTGGATATATCGAAATTACAATTATATACAGATTAATAATTTAACTCAATGCCTTGTAATGATGTTTTTGATTTTTGTCATATTTTTCTCGAAAATAGACTTTAGCACTGTATCGTATCTGTTATTTTTTTTGTTCTCCCTCACTGCATCTGGATCAAATGAGCACAAACTCTAGAATTAAAGTTTTGTTTGCATCTAGATTAAAGTGATACAATCCCCCCCCCTCGAATAAGTTCAGGGGATGATATTTTGTGCATGTATCAAAGATGTACCTTTTGTAGTTTACAACTTTCAACCCACACCCCGATCATTTTATAATTAAATTTCATGTTACAGGAGATACCAAGTTTAAAATACTAAACTAAATTTTTAGTTTAAAATACTAAAAAATAAAATGTAATAAAACTCAGGCAAATAAACTTAATTTGCATTTATTACTTTTAAAAAAAATATATGTATATATATATATATAGCTATTACTGCTGGTGATGAGCCATTTTTATAGGTGGGAAGTTAATATTTCATTATGCTTAATTTTTCTTTTACCACCAATTACAACTTACAGTGAACCTTGAATTAAATTTTCAAACGTTTCTGTCAAACTAATTTAAGAGTGTAATATCTAGCAAATAAAAACTACAAAAACTCGAAAATATCAACTGCTTATAATTAGCTCAAAAAATCACCAGAACATTTTAAAAATTCTACCAAATTTAAAAACCACCAATATAAATATGTCGCCTAAGACCACAGGTCTCTACGATCATTTCAAATAAAAGTACAACAAAAAAAAAACCATATCAAAAATAATGAAACCGTTAATACCATACGCTTTCCCGTGTATCATACATCCCCCCTTTTTTCCAAATTTTAGGAAAACTATTCGGAAAATCAAAAATTACTTATTTACTCAGAGGTTTTGATAACTTTGAACATCAAAAGTATTACAAGTCGTTTAATATGAATTGGCATTATTGATAAATATTGATACACTGCGAAATATTACGGATTTAAAATATATTTTTAATTACAGTTTTTATTAAGCCCCATAATGTCCAACATTTGTTATTAGTTTACTTGCTTCAAATCCCAAGTTTATTCAAGATTTTGACATTATATATCACACAAAGTGATTTCGGTTATTTTCAAGTATTTATGTTTGACCTTACCTTCAACTTGAATAACTCACTCTTTATTCGTTTAAAATCAATCTCGTTCAATTCAAATTTAACATTCACGACCACGGATATATTATTATTGAGGTTCAAATCCAATATTCACATAACTACACCAGTTTTTTTTTTTTTTTTTATTGTTTGGATAATTTGCTTGTTGGATAATTTTGTTAATTTGACTATTAAATAAGTGAGAAATGTGCACAATATGTAGTGCATCTGCGCGTGGCGCGTTATTACACTATTTTGTATTATTTTAAGAACGTTTTAAATATAATTTGTCACCAGCCATACCATTGAAGTTAAAATAAAATAACAATCTTGAAATCTTGAAAAGATATAATTTTTTTTGAAATAATAAAAATAAGAATTGCATTTTCGTTTTTAAAAAATTATCAGATATAAAACGTATAATGAAAAAAAAAACAGTTAGGTATATCTAAAAAGTTTAATTTTGAGATTCCGAGAGAAGCGATAATTACTATATAATGTGTTCTTTTTTTATATGTGTGTGTAAACAACTTTTCTATGAATATTCTAAAATCTTGCTCCAATCATAAATTGCAGGTCTATAGTAGCAAACATTTTGTCTGGTCGTTAAATTGAGGGGTAATTTTTTAATTTCCCTTGTAGTTTTCTTGATAGATGAGAAAACCTGGGGAAAACGAGAAAATGTACGCAATAACAATTTTCATTATTTTCTATTATAATACTTATATTAACACTTTCTGGACGGAGTACAATTTTCAAAAAATTCTGGCGATTTTTTAGCTATTTATAGCCGAGATTTTTAGTTTTTGTTTGGTTTTAGCCAACAAAAGTTCTTCGAAAATTTAACCCGAAATTTACCATGAGTTATCTATAGTTGATTTTTAGTAAAAAAAATTAACGTATAATGTAGTAGATTTTTTTTATACGCGTTCAAACTTGGACGGAAATCTTATAAGTCACGCAATTTCAAAACGTGTTTAACCGAACTGACTCGACTGACGTTCAATAAGAATAAACAATCGCATAGAAGTCAGTTTTGTTTTCGACGAATGTTCGCGAACAGATATAGACGGATAAACACAATATTTTGCACTGGCGCATTAGTAACGGAATATTATTTTAATCCTGGAAAAAAGGTCTGTATACGATAAAATTAAATACGTATAAACTAAAAGGTATAACTGCGGAGACAATAAATACACTGGGAGTCTGGAAAAGATATTGTATTTACATCCCGTGAGATTAAAATAAAACAATAGGCGAGATAAGGACGAACGACTGAATATAGAATATGCGTACCTATAGTAAGTTGTGACGATATCGGTTATCATAATATTATAATATAATATTATTACGGGCGGTAAAGCGTAATGATTTATTTACGGAAAAACAATATCGCGAGAATAAACTACAAGAATATTGAGTATACAAAGAAAACCGTAAATATTATACAGAGTGGCCCAAAGGTCAGAAGTGTATCGCAGTATTTTTAGCACTCAAAATGCATAATATTATATTATATTATAATGATAAACGCAATACCGTTCGTATTATGACTATAGAATTTCGTTTTTCGTGCGGTTTTCATAATGAAAAAATGGATGGGCTAATTTATTGGCTTTTTATTATGGCCGTCTGTAGAGGTATAAAACTAATATATACAGTCAACTGTTTATGCGAAGCCTGACAGCCATATACCAACGAGCCAAAATTTGCTTGATTAACCTGTGAAATATTTTTATACCATTATGAGTTACGCGATAAAATATATATTATTATGTGATAACATAAAAAATAATTTTAAGTAATCGCAAACTATTTCTATAGCGTCACTTAATTCGTGAAATAAACAAATATTTCGTTAATTAATCAGTACGGTTCTTTCGCTTAATGAATGGCTGTAACGTTACATATAAGCGTGCGCACGGGGGAGACAGGAGAGGCGGCTGTCTCCCCTGAGAAATTTTCCACCAAAACCCTAGAACGTGGTAACTTAACGTCGTAAATTGGCATAAACAGGAGAGATGCATTTGAAGGATTTCAACCACCCCTTCCCCTACCGAAAACTCAACGAAGCCTCCAAAAATAAAGTATTCATCAAATAAAATACTACCTAAGTATTCAAAATCAATATTGTGTTGCCGGGGGCTTAAGCTCCCTTCCTAAAATATTTGGACTATTTTTACGTATGATTTTAGTGTAAGGCTTCAACGATCGTTGCGTTTCCTGCTAAAAAGGACCTGCGCACGTTTGTGACGTTACATATCTTATGGAACTCTTTAGGACAGTCGGTCATCTGGTTTTTTTTTTTTTTTGTACCAACGTTGTTACTTATATAAAAAATAACGCAATCAGTGGTGCATTTAAAGGTGGGGCGAAGGTAGTTAATGTCCCTAGTGGCAAAATGTTAACAGTTTTTAGGGTGGCAGTTTTATTGAATGTATTAATTTTAATTATTATCACAAAATGTATAATAATGTAAATAGTATCATTGATTAAAATCTTGATTGATCTATGATTTTATTTTTATAAGTAATAGGTAATTGTTGTGAGCGCTATTGTATAAAAGGACCGTGAGTGATTTTATGTCAAGTATGGTCATACCTTTTGTATAGACGTTTTTCTACGCTTTGTACCTACAAGTAATAAGAAATAAGTGATGACAGATTATCGCATCAAATCACTTTGTGTTGAATGTGATATTAGTGAAACGACTGATAACGTATACAATTTACTTATTCGATATGATTTTTTTTATCTGAATAAAACACTTAGAAGTTGTAAATTTTTAAACCCTGGGATATACATTTTAAAATGTTATTCAAAACAAGCATGGGACACATTTTTCAGTAATTGAGATTGAGGAGGGAAGGTCAGAAGTTGCAATGAGTAGTGAGTGAAAATAAGTGGGAAGTAAGAGGGTGGAAATAAACATGTTTCGCCCCGGAGTGCATATATTCTAAATGCGCCACTGGACACACAATGAACAATTCGATGCATAAAGATTATTATATTGTACAATTTATACTGATATGCCCACTGAATATTTTCGTTTGATATTATTTTGGTTCGATCATATACCTATCGCGTTAAAAATCAATACACTATGTATAATATTATGTTTCGAGAGTATTATTTATGTTGATTAGATATACTACAAGACATTAATTACACATTAAGACGTCGTGAACTCTGTTAAAATGGATTATCTATACATATATAACGGTTCACGACTGATCTTTTTCAAAGTGACGACCCACGGAATAACGCGTAGGAGTAGAGTTTCGGCGGTGGCGTCAAATAAACAAGAATTATGTTCCTAATACCGGTAATGAAGATCAGGAGCTTATAACCATATATACTGCGGTACTGTAAAATGTATTACAACTGAAACCGAAATCCAAATACATACAGACTGTTTTCCGTAACTCGTAAGTCGTGTTGACCAGCTAAACGAAATTTTCTTTCATTAAAAAACACTACGCTTGAATTTCGATACGGGGTTTTTAGTGTAGAGAAACCAAATCGAATAAATCTAAATGATCCTTTTAATCGATTTAATTATATCGTTAACGCAATACTTGTTTTTGTTCGTATTTCTTTTATGGTTTTGCCGGTTTTTCCCTATTATTATGAAAACCGCTTGGAAAATCAAAAATTAACCTTCTCGATGCACACACTTGATGCAAAATTCGAGAAAAAAATTGTTGACATTTTTTTGATTGAAGCAATATTTCTTTGAAAAAAGTTACTTATAGATAGAAAAAAAAAATATTCATAATAAAACGAATACATTTCTCTCTTATCTCAGAATCTAAAAAGGTAAGTAAAATTAAAATAAATCATTAAAATAATGTCATTATTCATTTCCGTGTTCAAACAAAG